ATGTATGAGGGGACGAATCGAACGAAGTGGTTTCGAAGTTTCACACCACCACCACCACCACCACCACCACCACCACCACCACCGCACCTCCCATCAAACAAAGTCAATGGGGCCAACTGGATCAACTGGGTTCAACCGAGTCAACTGGGTTCAACCGGGAAATTTTGTTCAAGTGGGTGAACCGGGTCAAAGGGGACGGCACATTTACCGGCCCCCTACGCCGGCGCACTCGTTTTGGCAGTTCAGTGGTGATCATATCAAAGGGTTTTGTTTGAAGCAGGATACGTCAATGCCTTTGAGTTTGATCCCTTTGAGTGGTTCTCCTGTTGGCTACAATGGGATGGAGGGATACTGCGACAGCCTTTCGACTGGAAGACCAAGTGCTGTAAGTGAGAATGGCTGGTACGCGCAACAACCCCTTCTGTTCACTCTCCAGACAAGCTGAGAAAACTACAGCACGTAGAGCTTTCTTTGCGTTACTGATGTTGCTGGGACCGAACGCCTAGATCTGGCAAGATTAGCAACCAAAAGTGCTGACAGGAGTGCCAGGTTTGGGCTTTTCATCTGATCATCTGAATGACACCCTGATCATGATTCATTTGTTTCCAAAGTTGTGTCGAAGAGAGTCAGAAGCTGTAAACGGAATGACGAACGAGATGGACGCTGCCAGTCGGCTCTTTGGAGTGAAGCACTTTGCTGGGCAGGTTTTCTATGAGGCGCTGGAAAATGCATTGAGGTTTGGAAGTAGGCCCTAGGCACTTTCCAAAGGAATTTTCAGTAGGTTGTAAGAATCAATTCACACGAGCCATACCATACTCAAATCCACGCATGGCCACTGGTTTTATGCTCCTTTCTTGAATTGGAACTTTCCTGGTCTATCAAAGATCCAGAACGGAGTGACACAGGGTGTTGGACTTTGCGCTGACTGATGTTCAATGTTTCTGTTCTATTCGACTCAGATTGGTGAAGCAAAATGGATTGACCCATGGCCGCACGTATCCTTTCGACTTGCGTGCGGTGGGCTCGAGGCATCAGACTTTGTGCGGAAGAACGCCAGCGCACACCGCCCAGACATCTCAGCCTTCTTGAGGCAGTCGGAGGGAGTTAGGCAACGTTTAGGCATATGGCATATAGCACCTTCACTCATGCATCCTTGATGCATATTTGTATCCATTTGTATCCGAAGTGGCCGATACGCAGGTAGTTTCACCTGTACGTTTGAAGTGAATCATTGTTGGTTCCTTTCGTCCTTGTCATGCTTTGCTGCAGGGCGCATGGTGGCACTTTTGTTCGTGAGGCCAAAGACCAGCAGTTGATACAACATTTTTTTTTTTCGTTGAGCATTGAGCAAGATAGGAATACCATGTAATGATGGGTCTACAACTACAACATGTGCCTTGTGCCTGTGGAGATGCTTGGATCAATTGTTTTATATAGACGTTTAGAGTTTATTCTTGACTTCACATAGCATTCTGTTTGTTTCCATTCAATTTCTGCCTTGATGAACATGATATTTGTGAGTCGTTAAACGGCCGGCTCGTCAGATGATCAGCGACGACAAAGATGCTGCTCTTCCAAGGCATTGCATCGGCCCCGTAGTAGTAGCCGAGTTGGAATGTGAATTTCTGCTCCATGTGGATTCAAGTGATGGTGGTTGTTTGGACAGATAGCACAGAAATGCACCGAAACTGTTCCAGAGTCCAGAGCTAAAAATAGTGGAACAACAAGCTGTCAACCTATTTGGAGATCATCACTAAATGCGCAGCGTCTTTTCTCGAACATGGTACACTCAACAAGTCCACTCGCAATTTTTCTGCCAGGCGAGGCAGAAAGCTCTTCGGCCGGACTCTGATCAATATTTTCCAACAGGCGAGGACGGTGGGCACACTCAGACGGATCTCTTGACTCTTTTTCCAAACACGAGTTTCTGCCAGTTCTGGTTCTGATTCTTTGCCATTCTTGACTTCATATCGGTCGGCCTGTGGGAGATGGCGATAGGATTAGGAATTCTGTGGACGTTGGTCCATGACCGATGGCTCCATCACCAGGAGTTGAATGAGCTTTGCTCAACGTTGGAGGCCCGTGATTGCACCTTCCTTAGCTTTGAAACGGAGTCCTATGCACCTCATCGAGAGAAGAATGGAGTTGTAAGGTTGGCACATTCGATGCCTGCGGCCCAATGATGAGCAGGACCGGTGTCTGGTGCTTCTTTCGCTTCTTTGTACAGTAAAGTATAGTAAAGGCTTTTGTTTGCAGTAAGGATGGTAAAGACAGGCGTGGTTTCAAATTGTCTCAAATCCGATGAAGTTCCTTTCCAACAGCATCCAAATTCAGAAGTGGATTCTGGTTGCTTTAGCCAAGAGAGTTTGCTGAAAGATTACTTTTGCTTCTTTTGTTGGAATCCTCAACTGCGCTGTCAGAAGCCACTGGTCTTTGATGATGCGTCGATGCTGCGGCAGTGCCGCTATAGTGGTCTGCTAGAGGCACAGATGGGCAGGGATTGACAGCAATCAAAAGAGGCGTGCAGAAGTCACCATAAACAATTACGCTTGGAGTGTGGAAATTCAAATCAACAAGTCAACGCAATGTGCCTGACATAGACTGGTAGCAAGCCATGAGAAATTGCAGGCCACACGAATTCGGAGACAAGGTTTTGCTCATCGACGGACGCTGAGAAACTTTTCCTTGAGGCAAGTCGGGGAGAGCAAGATTCTTCAGTCACACAATCGGCAAGTATTCCAATTACAAAACACCTTCGTTTTTCTTTGCCAATTTCTTTTCGTTCCTTCTCCAGGTATGCCATGCTGCTTGCCGCGCAAGAGGCATCGCCAGTCGTGCGCACACAGCTTCTGCGTCAATTGTAGTGGCTCAGGATCGAAAGGAAGCTCGCCAGCCCGTCAGAAACCAAGGCATAATATGTCACCAGGATTTGGCATGAGAATCCACCGAAACCTTCTGCGGTGGTTTTCGGTGTCTCCAGCAACCTGCTTCTTGTGGTCTATATTGTATGTGGACTTCCGAAAAAGGAGGAGGAATGCTCAGACTGTCCAAGCCACAGACAGCAGGAGAGAAACCCTCTAATATCTATATATAAATGCCCTTCAGTCATGAGCTACGGGAACTCTTGCCCCGCGGCCTCAGATTCTTCTGACTGTTTGTCTGAGGCAAAGGATGCGAGCATCTCTTGCAAAGCCATCAGCGAGGTGAGGACACATCCATTGAACCATACTTTGAGGGTTTCATCTCCACAATCTATGCTTTTGATATGGCCGTGTGTCCCACAAAGGGGATCATGTTGGAAATGGGACCAGTGTTTCATTGGCCACTGCAACTTACTACTGGTCTGGTGGGGCAAATTCTTCATTTAGGGTTCAGGCACATATACAAGTGGATGCGATCTAGCACGTTGTTGCGTCATGCAACAAGTAAACCCAGCCGTTCAGTGCGCTTCCATATTGATTCCGTTTGCCTGTTGCAGCCGGAGGTTGCAACACAAAGCGGTGTTTTAGCCGAAGATGTGCGAATTGGGCACTCGAAGGCGCTCAGCCTTTAGCTGAAGATTTGGATTAAAGGATTCCTGTCACCAAACGAGTATCAAGAAGATCGAGAATCACCAAGAAGCACTCGAATGGGTGGGCTGTTGGCGTGGCAACGTGTAGCCACATTTGGTAGCTATGGACAATATTCTTTGGTCAGTTCGCTATGGAGCTTTGCTGAAGAAACACCTCAGTTTTCTACAGAGCGTCTCACTATACCTCTCCTGCTGCGCAAGACTCTAAGACTGAGAGGTCTTCATGCGCGAATCAGCTCTTGCTTGGTTTGAGGGCCAGAGGCCGGAGCCTGGCTATGGCTACTGTGGTGCCTAGCCACTGCGCTTTGCAGATCTTTCGAACTCTGGAAAGCATGCACCTGGATTTGATGTGACACAGGCTGCAGGCTGAATTGCTGTTCCTTTACGTACTTCGTGCCCATTGCTGGCATTTGCAGGTCTTCCATCGCTCTTCTGCGGGTCACGGCAGCCTTGCGTGGCAATGTTGCCAGGCAAGTGGTCGTAAAGTGGCAGAGACCATGAGAAGATATGAGAAGACCAGCTGAAGATCATGGAATGACCACTTCATCTCAGACCATGAAGACCATGAGAGACCATTCATCTCGAATGACCAAGGCCTTTGACCCCAGAGACGGTCCGAGAGAGAGCCGCTCGTCCGAGGCGCAGCTTTCTGCGGCTCCGAGGAGTAGCGCGAAGGCTCCAGGCGACCGGTCGCGTCGGGTCGGGGTACCGGGGTACCGGGGTACCGGTCGACTAGGCCGTGTGATGTTTAGAATTGGTGGGCCAGATCGACTCGTTGCATCTCGCAGTCTTGTGTCATGTGACCGAATTTGGAATTGATAGAAGATATAGAAGAATGGACGAGCACAGTCAGCCTTAGAGTCGTTTGACAGGCCTGGGTGCGAGGCTGCGCTACTCGGCGCTTAGCCACTTGGAATGAGGACATACTGTGCTGTGTCTAGAACTTGTCTAGTCTAACTTAGTGATCTTAGTGTGTACATTGACTTACGGTCAAATTTTACTTTGTGCGGCTGTTGCATCCTCAAGTCCCCTATTGTTTTCCAATGTTTTGGAACCTTGTTAGAGGGTATCGTTTTTTGTGAGTCCCCTATCGTTTGCCAGGGTTTGGAGCATGCCCACATATGAATGCAACACTCTTATGCAATGGTAATCATCGAACGATTTGAAGGCACTTCAATATACACACATATATAAATACAAAAAAAGTGGTTGGAACAAAAGTGCTTTCTTCATGACCCCTTGCTACCCCAAGTCTCTTTGTTTAGAATACCTCAGCCCCTTTTGCATCGAAAACCAAGAATCTCTCAAATCTTGGGCTCCCCAACCACTAAGTCACTAAGTGTTCATAGTAATGCCCTTGTAATCTACATACTTCCCTTAAAAGAGAACATCAAACAGGGCACGTTCTCGCTGCTCCAGACCGGCCGCCGCTCCGACCATGTGAGGTCGCCGCGCTGCGTCGTCACCGAGAGGCGGAGCATGCGGCACAACTGGCTGCGCAACGAGAGGCATGAACACCTACCAGGAATGAGGATGAAAAACATGTTTTTTTTGTTTTTGGGAGATGGTTGGAGTTGGAGGTAGCAGAGTTTGGAGACCCATTTGGTACCAGATAAAAACTATCGCTTTCTGCACCCACAGGGCAAGGGTTTTGCAAGTTTGCCAGAGCTATTAGGCTTTTTGCAGATTGACAGTTGCAAGAGTTTCTGAGCGAGGGCTCTGTGGGCCAGGAACCAAACTAGTAGTGAATGCGAGGCCACGTAAAGGTATGGTAGATGAACATCCCACTCAAGCGTAGTTCACCGGGAGTCAGTGACATGAGACCCTTGCTACTAGTAGCGTCCTTGCTCCTAGTAGCGATGCCCTTTGTTACTAGTAGCGAAGAATCTCATCACTTCCAGCCGGACGCCACCGGACCATCCCTCACCAGTCAAACTAAGCGTGGGAAACCAGGTGGCAGCCCGAGCGAGGGCGCTCATCAGAGAGGACCGTTGCGAGGGATTCGAAAAGTCTGGCCTAGTAGAGCCTTTATAAAGCAAATTAGCTGAGTCAAGTTCTTAGAGTCTTACTCTATTGGTCTCACCAGGTACAATGATTCCAATCACAAGTGGGGTGGGCTGATTCACTTTGTGACAGTCAAGGTTCCTTGAACGGATGCTCTTTGGCAGGATGCTGCTCTTCAACTCCAGGGCTTTTGGCGGAGTCGGCGAGCGCAACGGGAGCAAGCAACCCGCTGGGACCTCGTTGCTTGCGGAAGCACCCGCTGGTCACCTTGGCGATCGTGGTGGGTGGATGGGTCCGTGGTCGTACTGAGGTGTTGAAGTGGTGACTTTGCAGTCGCGTGAAGCTCAGAACTCGTCATTCACCTCATTCACCAGGATATTTACTGTTTTACTAGATATTTTACTAGATCCCAGAGTTCCATTTGTTTGGATCTCAAGAGGAACTTTTCACATGTATTCCCCCCATATCAAGCCAGTCCCTTTGAGTCCTTAGGTGCAGGAACCATGGATGGTCTGACAATGTTGAGGACAAGCCCAAAGTGCCCCAGGAGCCTACCATGACGGGCATTTGCAAGCATAATAATGCAAAGCTAAAACCGATGTGTGTGTGTGTGTGTTTGTACCATTCAAGTGCAGAAAAGGATCATGGGATATCATGAGTTTGAACCCAAACGAGCTGCTTCATCCTGTTTCTTCTGAAACAAACAACATTACTATACATTACTAACATTACTATCTATCTAAGTTGTTGGGCAACAAGCAGAACATCTACCATTTCCATCGTCCTGCTCGGTGGGAGGCTCAGCCGGTTGAAGTGCCCAGCTGCCGCCTCACAAGGCAGGTGTGACCTCAGCAGGTCAAACTAGGCAACTGAAGGAGTTCCATCAATCACATCGGCACATGCGGACCTGACAAAGATCATGGAGGCTGAGCCACACTATGGCCCATTGAAGCAATGGAATCAAGCTGTTATCCTTTCAGTGGATTCCAGACTTGATGGTTTGACCCATCATGAAGCGATGTGAGAACGTCCAATCTTTTCTTGCGAGTCACTGAGTTTTGCCATACGCTCGTGACTCTTCCAGACTGACTTTAACATGTACAACCTAGAGTTGAGTCGTTTTGCCTTCGATAAGGAGTTCATTCTGATCACAGGCAAATTAGAACATGAGCGCTGAATCATGCGAACTGCGAGGCACATCGGTGAAGTGCGAGTGTGTGTGCCCACCTGCCGTCAGTGGAACAGCAGGCCGTAGATCGGGTTTTGAATTGTTGTGAAAAGTACTGGTGTCAGTTGACTTGTCAGTTGGCCCCTGAATGGCCTTGAGACCACTTGAGACCTTTCAAATTGTCTCTTGGAGGGTCTGATTCGGTCTGATGGCTGTCAGAAAACCCAAACGATTCACTCATTGCAGGCCTTTGGGATATCACGAGATCGTGGCGGGCACCACACCCAGAGTTCGAAAGGAACAGGCCTGCGGTTCGGTGTTCTTAGCTACTTTCAGGTACAGGAGCCCCCTTGTTCCTAGTAGTAAGGCCAGGAGCCCCTAGTAGCGTCCTTGCTCCTAGTAGCGATGCCAGGATCCCCTAGTAGCTTCTTGTTCCTAGGAATTCCTGCGGTTGCGCTGTAGAAGTCGACTTGTTCCTAGCCGCATGGCCTCCTTGGTGAATTTGTTTGTGGAGTTCGTGGATCAATATAATCAACTGTTGACTTTGACTTGGATTCACATCACATGGAGGAGTCAATCATTTTCGGCCGGCACGGGCCTTAGGATCAATGTGAGCTCACTAGATTAAGGTCCTAAGTCGGCTTGCTTTGCACAAGAAGTTCATTGGGAGTGGATAGATGTAATGCCTTTGTCAACTGCATGGTATTTGCCTGCCTGAAGGTGAACAAATCCAGATGCATGGTGGGCAAACTCACTTGGATTCCACCTTTGTTTGGCCATAAGACTACTGCAGGCTCTAGATACTGGAGATTTACTAATGACATGGACAGCCCGAACCCACACACCAAGGCCATATCCAACAGCGGCGGGCCCCGTGCAGGCAGAGAGTTGAGAAGTTGCTGTTAAGGTCGTGAACGTCGTGGACTCAAACTTAGCACCCTATGGCCGGCCGCTCCCAACTGCTCAGTGGCCCATGCAAATCTGTCTCGTAGCCAATCAGGCTTCTAATTCAAGTAGCTTGCTTCATCATACTCAGAGAGCACACCAGAACTCCATTGCCGCTGCTGCTTATACAATGGTTGGCAGCCAAATGTCAAGAAATACAGTACCATCACAAGTCGGTCAGTTGAACATCTGACATACATAAAATAAACTTACCACATGAGAGACCATCAATCACTATTCAAGTAGGGGAAGCGATTCATGAGCGGTTCAATCAGAACCCTTTCCCATGAGTTCCCTCGAGCTCACAATTTCAGGTCGATTTCGCTTGAGTTGAAAGGGTGACCAACCAATGTCTCGCTGGTTGGCGCTTGCCTCGTTGGCATCGGTCAGCCATGGCCGACCGCTGTGGGGCGTAACCCATGCGGCCCACGTTTTTCGGAATTTGAGTGGGGCGCAGACGGGGAAAATTGGTTTGACTCAAAAGAGGTAGACCCCTCAACCAATTTTGGTGAGTCTGTCACCCTGGACTCTGCTTTTTGTCACCAGGGTGCTGAGCAGCCAGGTCTTGGAAGGGTACATCGGGCACTTCGATTGAAGTCTATAGCATTTACTGCATGTTGCCCTTGTCAACGCCTCACAAGACCGTGACGTGCAAGTTGTCGACATATTTGGCCACGCGAAGAACAAGTAAGGAAGACCCTGCACCGATTGGTTTTTGGCCTTTGCGGTTTCATGCAGTCGACGATCTGCTGTGGTCACCCCCAGCATAGCGTGAGGCGAACACACTCAACACCCTGAAAGGAACTTCAAGGTCTCCATGAACCTTTCATGCTTAAAGTGGAGCGACGCCCCGCATGAAAGAAGTCCCAAAGCGATTTCGCAACTTCGTCATGATTCGGAAGCTGCAACATCCTCATGAAGTGAATCGTAGGATTATGACATCCCAGCTTTTTCACAGCTCCCCTGCACCGATTGGTTTCATCTATTTTCTTCTATTGAATATGACATACAGCAACCAAGACCAAGACCCAGCCCAGGCTGGATAGGATCGGAAGGTGGCTTGGCAATAACTATTTGCGTGCGTACTGGCCAACTAATTGCGCTATTCGGTGGGACATCACTTGGCCGACTTGATGCTCCCTTGGCCGACTTTGGAATACAGTCACGATGTCGGAGAATCTCAAGTGAAGAATCGCCTGACCAATGGTGAAGGATGTGCTGCATCTATATAGTAGTTTTCTACTTGAGAAGACAAGCGTAAACCTCCCACCTTGGACCGAGAAACTGTTGCCTTCTTGGTTTTCTCAGTCTTGGCAGCTTCTAAGGCTTCTGGTGCAGTTTTTGAGGTTTGGCCTCGTTCCTCTCTTCCTGGGCTGCGGCCTTGAGTGGGGGTCCTTAATCAGGCACACCATCGCTGCTAGGGTGGAGGCCATCGCTAGTGCGCCAGTAGGTTGGAGGCCATCGCCAGTAGGTTGCTTGCTTGCTACTATCCATCCGCTGAGCCTGTCTAAGGCAAGGAGGTGGACGACTGGGCAGTGCCTTGCTGGAATTGATCTTGCTGGAGGAAGGCGGGGATCCGAGATGCCACAAGCAGGACAATCAAGATTCCTCTATCAACCTATTGAGGAATTATATACATATACAAATATTTAGTTTTATTAATCATGGTGGTTTCTTTGCCTTTGTATTGTTTTGAGTTCATTGGCTCGCAGTTGCTGTGGGCCTGTGCAGTCCTTCCAGATGCGCCTCTAGCACTGCCGGAGCAACAGGCTGGGCCTTGGCCCGCCAAGCTCAGCTAAAAGACTGGGCAGGAAGTGGTCAGACGAACCCACGGGTGGTCCATTGGTTGCCATCCGCACTGCAAACTCTCTTGCGAGGGTCTTAAAGATTGCATTCGAGCACATTTCTTTTCCTGAGACTCAGTAGCTTTGTCAGGTCGCACACTTCAACAGGTCCTTTCTGAAATACATTTAAATACATAAACCCTGGACAGGTGTACGACATATTTAGCCTAAACTTTTACTAAATTACTAATTAAAGGTCAGCCTTCCACATTTGGCATCGAAGAACAGTGGCCGCGGTGTGCCAGGTGCTTCCATTGATCACTCGTGGGAGACAAATTGTCGATCGCCAGGGCAAACCTGTACAACTCCGGTGTGTCAACTGGCCCCTAAGCTGATCTAAGTTGAAGAGATGATGTGAGATGTCGTCTTGAAATGAGGAAGCTCTGCCAAGACTCCAACATTGAAACTCATTGATTGGGGTCTCAAAACACATGTGCCCTTCATAGAACCTCTTCATCCCCAGCTGCCTGGCTGGATGTGAATCCGATAGTTCTGCGGAGAAGTTGACTTCACAGGTCTTGTTTGTTGGGGCCAAGGTATGGAGCGCATATGCAGGATATGGTGGTAGGCCGACCTCCGGCGTGACTCAAGGGTGGGGGGTCGCTCTTGTTTGGTGAAACTAGTTGTAAGCCCCAAGAGTCTAGTGATGAAACGTCAAGTCTTTGTGAAGTCACTTGTGCGAGACAACACTCCGAGCTATGCGGGAAGGTGTGAATCCAACTTGTGTGCAGCATTCTAGTATGAAACAGTATCCATGGAAGTGTTTCCTCTTCTCACCTCACTTCACTAAACTCACTAAACCTGAAGGGCTTCTAAACATCTTTTCAAATCCAAGCTGCCTTAGTCCTTTTCCATGGCACTCAACCTTCCACCTTGCGTCCAAAATAGAGGAGGTTGACCAACATACTAGTGTCAGTCTCAATACAACCGCCTCCCTTCCCTCAAAGAAACATAAAGAAACAACTCCAAACTGAGAGGTCAACCCCCAGGTTGAATCCCAACAGACTTCTAAGCCGTCTCTTGCATGGCCCCCTGCAAAGGCATCAAGAGTGGGTGACCCTTGGGATGATTGCATTCCACAACCCAGGACACCTTCCAGACCACCTTCGACAGAGACTGCCCTTGAAGCAGGACCAAACACATTCCATGACCGAAACATGAAACACCCGTGCCACCTTGACCCTCAATAAAACTAGGTATCTATATGTATCAATGATCCAATCCGCGTGGTGTACCGTCTTCGGTGATCTGAGTCAGGTGGCCTACACAAACAACCACTTGACTCTTTGGTGCGTTCGATTCATGTGGCCTGTCATGCAAAAGATGTGACTGAGAAGCCTGTTCAGATTCGGATGGTTTTGCTATGTTTTGCTGTAACTGTAACTCTAGCCCCTAGTAGCTTCTTGTTACTACTAGTAAGGCACCTGTTACTACTAGCGTGGCACTTGTTTCTACTAGCTTTTTGCTCCTGACTCCTTAGTATATGATTCTTCCATTTGCTGCACATTTTTGCCAGCTGAGACATTGGGCTTCAATTGTGTCCGCCTTCCTTATTCGCTGGAGATGCATTTGGACCGAGGGATTAGCAGGCTGGCCTGCACCCACACAACCGTGTAGCATTTTAGCCGGAGCCATCGACTCTGGTGAACTGTGCAAAACTACTCATGATGAAATTATACACATGGGAGCACGTCACAGCATTGAGCAGCATGGATTCAATGGTTCGCGATGTCCCGGCAAGGCCTTCCTCCGATGCTGTGAAAGCAAACCCTCACTTTGTGCCACTGGAATTGAACAAAATCTATTGATGTTGTTTGAGAGACTTGCCAAGCGAAAATGGCAGCTTGAGAACACCATTGCATGCCAAGGAACATGACAGTGTCCAGTATCTTTGATGCAACCATCAAAGCCTTGGCAGCTGCTCATATCATGGTGATTCTCAACAACCATCAGGCATCGTAGCACGCTTGCACCGTGACCGAGAAACGCTTGGAGGGAACGAACGTTGGATGTTGAAGACTGGACTTGTGTCAATTTGCACTTATTCCTTGTGCTCGGCCTGGCAGTCTTTGAGAGAAGTTGTCCACAAGCAAATTTCTGTATCACCCCAGGGCAAAGCAATGTGGTGCTGCAGTGAGGATGATGGTGAAGGGCTTTGGTTCAGCAAGGACCAAGCTGAAAATCAGATTCACCGCGAACGTACGTCCGAGCTTTTCGGACTGACAGTCGTCGACCGGGCACGTGGTGTTTCTCTGGATTGTTCAGAATTTTTTTGGAGCGAACATGCGATGAGACAAGCCAACCATTGGGAAATGTCCTGCAGCGATCCTGCCAAGACCCCTTCAAAAAGTAATTAGCACCCAGTTGTTCGGAGGTCGTCCTGTTCTTACCTCCTAATGCCACTGACGGCATTCATTTCTGGAAGGAGTACTCTGAAGAGGACTGGCTTCGCTCCCTCCGCTCATTGGCCAGGCGTGTCGCTGTTCAAGCGCCTGTGGTGCTTCCAAATTTGTGCAGAAGCGTTCCTGTCTAGTCGTAAGCGGAAAGAGTAGACATCTTGAATCTTGATAGTCTTTTTCCCAGAAGCGCTCAATGGTCGTCAGTTTTAAAGATGTTCTTTCCTGACCTCCACAACCCAAGGCCATCTCTATAAGGCCATCCCGAGTGCTCTTTGGATTTGAGGCAGTATCGTGCCGAACCCTATGTCGTTGGCTATGACCTCCGCAATGAACCCCGTGGCATCCCTGCTGACACAGCTCGAAGTCTTCAACTGCAGCCGCAAGGCCGGGTCAGCTGAAGAGACAAAGCACTCTATAGGCTTTGCAGGCTTTGTAGACTGTGAGCTGCGTGTTTTCGTGTTTTTTTTCTTTACTGACTATTGCAACAATGATGTAGTTGCAGTTAATAGGGTCTAGGCAGTGGCATGCTGAGCCAAGCTCCAACAACTGAGCACCATATTTTATGTGACGATGTGCTAGGCTTTGTTGCTTTGGGAGGGAGCGAAAGCCATCCAAACGAAGCATCTAGAGAAGCCACAATCGCAATTTGAGCATGTCTGAAAGTAAAGCCGCAAATTACCGCTTCCTTTTACTGCCAGAGCCCGATCAAGGGTCTATAGCACAAACAGTTGAATCAAGAAGAGCTTAGGAGATGCTTGTCCCTTTTAGTTTGTGTAACGCCGTCTCACAGAGCTCAAGGTTGTGAACAACATGCTACTAGTAGCAAGTGCATTACTACTAGTAGCAAATAGCTACCAGTAGTAATGCCCTTGTTGCTAGTAGCGATGCACTTGTTACTATGTTTTGGTCGGAGCCTTGGAGCTGAGGGCGCTACCTTTGGCCTTCCTGGTCTAAAATCACCGAGCCCGGCCACGCCAACTGGGCCGTGGGCGCTCTCCATGGAGGTTTGGCCGTTGCGGAGGACCGAGGCAACATCGGTAGCTCGGCGCTTCTTCCAATTGGGGAACAACTGAGAAAGGGGTCTCGTGGCTTCCAGAAACTTTGGCTTCTGATTTGCCCATCAAGGATTTCATGTTGCTCCAGGATCGCACATGACATGTTGGCGGACCTTGTCTTGAGATAAGCCGTTTCCGTGGGGCACAACTGACAGATATCTCTCCCAAGGTGGTGGGCATGTTTGTATGAGAACTATATCCAGAGTCGAGTATGCCTTGGCTTATTATGGGTGCGGAAAGGAGTAATGACATTCCATGATGGACAAACCATGTTTTTTTGTCGAACCTCTTGGCTATTATCCCAAAAGGACTGTGCCAGTGAGCAAAGCATGCCCCGTCAAGATCCTGCCCTTATTGTCCCTTTTGCATCCGTTTGCGGATTCCAAGTTGAAGAGCAGAAGAGAGTTCCTGCAAAGGTGAGATGGGCCACACTCACCACCGCGATTCACCCTGAGAAATCTTTCAGTTTTTGCGGGAGAACTCCAAATGGAACATCTTGGTCATGGTCATGTTCCTGCTTTTCTCCGGCTTTTCTTTTCCTCGGTTTCTGAGGGCACCTAATCTCACCCAACCTTGTTTGGGGTGCAAGACTGAGTGGAGACAAAGCCAGTGGTTTCCTCCATACTCTCAAGACCCGGTATATTCAACAGGGGATCACCTCCAAGCAAGAGATCGCAAGAACCCTTAAATTCAACAGTTCCTCCCAAGTGGAGGATTGGACGGACGTTCCTCCGTTTCCGACGCGTTTCAGGAGGATCCAGACGCCTTGATTATCGTCGAAGGCTTGGACTTCGCCACCGACCTCCGTGGAGTGGCGCTCGAGCCGCTGCACCGCCAGAGTCACCTACAGGGTCGCACTTTGGCAGTAAACACAGAGCAAGGACGCTACTAGGGTCTCCTGGCCTTCTAGGCGAGAGAGAGAGAGAGAGAGCCATGCCTTGGGGAGCCAACCGCCAGTCGTCCGGCCTGTTGGAGCGACTCTTGACATGTCTACGACCACATTGAAGCGCAGCACAGCAATACTCAGTGCACCTACTTTCCAGCCAGCAACCCTTCAGGGCAATCCGTCTTGACTACCAGTGTCAAACACAGATGCCCACCGGCCATTTGGGGTGGATCCCTGATCCCATGTGATTTTCGATTGTCCGTGCCCAGGAGTGGTGTACGAAGTGCATGACTATTGCTGGTACCATCCCAGTTTTTTCCGCTCCTGGCAACTGTATTGGTTACTGGACAGCAAATATAGCAAGTCAATTCAGAGGCTCAAGTATGTGGGTCAGGCTTGGTTTGTGGCCTCCCGTCTTTGATTCTTCTTTGCCCAACAAGCCATTTCCACAGGTGATTTTTCCCCAAACATTGTGGTCACACTATGGCAGAACGGGTTCTTATGGTAGCTGTCAAGGCTGGCTTCAAATTTGATGACCCTTACAGCACAACAATTCCTCTCAAGATCTTTAAGGTGCGTGTCGACTGTGCAGGCTTGCACAACATGATGGTCCAGAGGGGATGCTTTCCTCGACTGCGCTCTCGTTGTGGTGCTACGCACCGTTTCGGACTTGGTAGTCACCTTTTGTGGCACAAATCCTTTTTTGGGTGGTCCTGGTGCAGGAGATGGGAGTGGTTGTGCTTCGATGTACAGATTTCGTTCATTTCGCGGCCGGCGCAGCGTTTTGGACTTGGTGGTGATCTTTGGGGTGCTCCGATTTTGTGGCAGGTGCGGTGAATCGTGAGCCTTGGACACGGGGCTCCTTTGCGGAACCTGGGAGAAGTATCGTGCGAAAGCTTCGTTTTGTCATCTCGATTGTTTTTTTGGAAGTGCTCGCTTTGCGAAACGCACTGGCAGGGATGCGCAGTACTGTAACGACGTGCAGATTTTGTGACAGGTGCAGCAGCGCAGCACTTTGTGGACTAGGAATTCAAGTTGCATCGTGACAGACATCGCTTTGCAGTGTGTGTGTGTGTGCGTGTTTGCTCTCATGTGCACTCTCATGTCTGTGCTCTCGCATGTGTGCTCTCACATGTGTGCCCTCAAGTGTGTGCTTTAGAATAATTCACCTTTGTGTTGTTCTACTTAACACTGTTTGGGGTCCTTTGCCGGGATAATTTCATTGACGTCTCGAAGAATTGCCAGTTTCCTGGACCACATGGCCTCTGACAGTCTAGCACGATTGGCAGTTTTCTTAGAGATGACATCAAACAACGCTAGTCCAACAAACTGATCATGGCAACCTCTGTGAACTAGTTGTGAAAGGTGCCAGCGATGTCGCCTTGAGGCTTTCACTTGGCTGGCTCCTTTGTGCAATCTTTGAGATGAGAAAGATGAAGTTCAAAGTGGGTGAGGAACCAAGCTCATGCAAGCTCAAAGTGTGTATTTCGTGGACCATCCGTACCGGATGTAGTGTGGCAGAAGATCCACACCTCTATGTGTTGCTTAATCCTTGTAATGCATATTAAAGAAATATGAACGTACATGAACATACTATTCTCATCTATTCTCAGGCTCAAAAGGCGTTCGTTTGTACACAGCATGATCCAGCAAAAAAACATTGAAAATCCCTAGTCGCCTGTGAGGCGTGATCGATGAACACCGAGATGATGCAGGAGGGTCTGTTTGGCCGTCTGGAAGTCATTCGTGAGCTGTTGATGTTCGGCAGTCTTCGGAGTTCCTGTTGTCACACGCCCTCAAATGAAGTGTAACTATATACGACTATATATATATATTTTTTTCTGACAGGCTTCGCACACCGGCGATGCCCGCGGGCACAGGCTACAAGCCATTCTTAACGCAGACACCGCCCGGTCAGCGCGCCTGCTGCCACCGGAAATAGAGGCATTTGTTCCAGGCTGAAAATAATGTTTCAAAACCGCGCTGCGTGCGCACTTCTGCGGCAGCGAGCAGTGTAAATACCAATCATGGTTTTAGGCTATCAAGTGCTAACACGGTATTTACGAAGTTCTTTTGGCGCCCGCGCGCCTTCAAAGACATGGGTACTTACGCAGTTTTTTGCACCATTGCAAGACCTTCTTGAATCAAAGTTTGCAAAAACAATGTAATTTACAATGTTTGGCGCCCTGGCGCGTGCCAAAAAGAAAAGAGCCCAAAGCCGCCCCAAAGTCATGGACGAGCTGGCAGGTGAAGCTACTCCTGAGAGCGCTCAGATCAACTTGGAAGGTGGCGCAAGTGATAAGCTGGAAGGTGGGGCTCAACACCAATTTCGATCGGGCCTTGAACTTTGCCCTGCATCAGTCAAGATAGAATTGACATCCAGCACAGCGTTTGCAACTTGAGCCAGTTCATGTCCCGGCTAACCAGGAGGGCCGAGGCTGAAGTAAAGCACGTGATCCTGCATCTGGCAAGAACAGAAAGCTATGGGTTTTGGTTCCGTGCAATGGACCAAAAGCAAGAAATCACAAGTCTTTGGACAATTTGAAGAGCTCGATGGAAATGATCTGCTTAGCAGCGCAGCTCGACGAGTTGAGCAATGTTGTTCATCAATGGGTACCAGAGAAGCTCACGGTCGAGATCCCAGAAGAGCATAAGACTGAATCTTTGGCATCTACAGGTGGAGCAGCAGAGGCTCTACAAGTTCGAGACCTATGGCAATTCTTGAGCCGCAGAAGGACTGGCATCAAGTCTGTTACAGACTCTTCACTTCACCCTGTAGAGCCTGTGTTGGAAGACTTTAAACACATCGACGCCCGCTATCTGTGGCTACAGCTCAAGATCAAGAAACAATCCTTGAGCATGGAAGGGGTTCCCACTCTATGGAACGTGTCTGATCTTGGCACCAAGAGATTGACAAGGCAAAGAAGAGAGTTCCTCATGTACCTGATTGGTTTGGTGGAACGAGGAGAAGGAGAAAATGGTTTCTTTCCCGGTAAACTACAACCAGGAGACGCGCAAGAGGATGTTGGCCAAGCAAATGAAAGAGGTCAAGAAGACAAGGGTCAACATGCTGATGGGTGATGGGCCCAAGATTCCCACGAACATGGTCAAAGCATGTCAAAGCAGTAACGCTTCTACTTCTACAACTTGGAGCTTCGGGAGAAAGCCATGATGGAGGTGAGATGACTGTGGTCCAAGAGAATGAGACGACGATGGAGCAAGTGGTGCTGGCGATGGAGAAGTACACGATCAAGGTAACAACAATGTTGAGCTTCATCTACTACAGCTTCACCTACTTCCTTGTGTATACCATGGGGGTCTTTGCTGCAGGCGTCTACATTGAACACAAGTACAAGAGGATTACCAGATTCTTTGTCACATGGCGCCGGGTGGCGCAACACGCTGAGATCCTTGAATTCCAGAGGACGCAAGCTGAAAATGATTTTGGATGATGGCAGCGATGGAAGTGCACTACCAACCTCCTGAACTACCTGTGCTAGGTGGATGACTTCCTGAACGCGATCAAGATGAAGTTCATGAACCTGTTCCTGAAGATGCTGGAACTGGACATGGACGTTGAGAAGTGCAACTTCGATCTCTTCAAGATGAACGTGAAGGTCGAGGTGAAAGGCTTCGACCAGAGGAACTCAACACAGTGGCGGTTCCCACTCTCGAGAGTGATGTGTGGGAGACGGCGGACATGAACGATGTTACAAGCCCTTCACACACTTCAGACTCAGATGTGGAGATGGATGATGCTTCAGAAGACCGGGGTGAACATCTGGAACCAGCAGAGGATGAAAGAAGTGAACATGGTTGAGAACACATGGAAGCAGGTGGTGTTTGGTCCAGGATGGAGACTGGTGGAATTGGGGCTTCGCGTGCAAGTACCTGAAGACGCATGAAGAAACAAGAGCCGAAAACTCCTTGAATTCAACGTACGTGAAAAGCCGACTTGCTTCACTACATGGCAGGAGGCACCCCTACCTATAATGCTGGTGGACCACATGATGGCATGGAACCACGAGGCCTACTACGGCTACCAATGTCTTTGTGGATGTGCTCGCGAAGGGTGCATGGGAAGGCCAGTGGAATAGGCGCATAACGGAGTATGCTCAAAACGAGCAGCGCCGTGAGATGATGCAGTCCGACGCTTGAAAAGATGTCAGACTGAGGTGGGGTGTTGGACATTTTGTCACACACCCATGCGCAGACGCTTGCTGCGCTGCGCCGCACAGTGGCACAGTGGCCCGAGATTAGATGAAAAGGGCGCGCTCCGTCTGCCAACAACCTGCAACACACCCAAAGCAGATAAAACAACGTCTAATGAGACGAAATGAGCCCAATGACAAAATATATGGCTTTGCTTGCAGACAGTCGTTAATCTTATATTCGAAGACACTTTTAATTGCCTTCTCTGCGTCCATGAAGCTTGCGCTTGCAAACCAAAACGCTCAGTTTCAGAATGTTTCGGACACTAGAAATGCTATGTTTTGCAGGATTTTTGAATATTGATGAAAATTCATATGGTTTCGGACCAAACGTTCGCGATGCTGGCTATGTAGCCCGCGGAAGACTGCATTTTCGACATCGTGGGTGTGTTCGCCAGTGTGTCCTCACCGACCGAGACACACAGATTGGCAGCCGAGACAGACCGACCGAGACAGACCGAGACAGACCGACCGAGACAGACAGACAGACCGAGACAGACAGACCGAGCCAAACAGACGCACACACTCCGTGCGGGCGGCTTCGAGCGTGAAACACTGTGAATATAGATCCAAATCTATATATGTAATTATATGTATAATTTGATATTTGTTTGAAACCAATTACGGCAGGACACACATGGCCATTGCCCTCTCCGATCGTGAAAAAACTGCTCTTCCTCTGTGCGGCCTCAGCTATGATCAGCAGCTGGTAAGGACCTCAGTTGCAAGGCCAAGAACTCTTCTAGGCCAGCAACTTTATCCTGTCTTTGTGCAAGACTGGAATCGTTCCATTCATCACGATTCATCAAATGGTTCACACGAAATGTGAACCCTTATTGGCTAATGGAATTCTGAGGATGGTATCTTATTCATCCTTCAAGGCAAAGTTGGACGACCGATGGGGCTCTTTGGCATTACCGATGGGGCAAGTCTTGACATTTCTAGGCACCGGTACTTTGTGATGGAAGGGAATCAACAAGTGACACACTTCTCTTTGGCCTGGGAGATAACAAAAACATCTTGACATGTGAGGTCCTATGTTGACAGATGTTGTTTTCTCTTGCAACATCTGATTTGATCCTGGGATATTTTGACATTTCGCGAAGAGCGCCGGCGATTGTTTGTTTTTGCCGACCCGCTGCAGCGAGGTTACATCTTGGAGGCCAATGCTCCTCAGCTCCACGGACGGTTGGAAACAAGACAGAACTCCAACGCGCCGGTTGGGAGTGGCAATTTCTTTGGATCTGTAGCCCATGTAAGTGTAAGGTCTTTCCTCTCAGAGAGCTGGAGAGTGGTCACTGGTGACTTCAGGAAGCTCCGATCTGGCTTGGCGAATTTGGAACAAATGGCTACTGGACGACAGCTGTGTGGTGGATGGAAGTTGGAGAGGTGCTTTGGCTACAGCATTTGCTGCGATACGTGACCCTAAGCTGCAGTCAGATGGTTGATGTTCAAGGGACTTGATGCAAAGTGAACTACGACGAGCTTGATCGCGCGTTATACATAAGATGCAAGACTGCTGTTCCTTCTGCACACGAAAAGGAGAGAGCATGAACTGGGCTATGCCTACTGGGCATTGAATGGTGACCTGGCAACTTGTGGTGGAGAAAGGCGATCCAACAGTGTGTCCAGCTGAATTGCTGAGTGTCAAGAGACTTCTCGCAGTGTAGCAAACACATGGTTGCATTTGTGGGCTATTGGGTCATTCAACGATGAGTTGAATCGTCTGTGTTAGAGGTTGAATCCAGGCATCATCTGAGGTGACAAGCAAGGCGAAGTTGAGACCTTCGGCCTCTTCAAAGAGGAGCAGAACGATTGGGAGGGGATGTCGATGCGGGTGACAGCAGTCGGTCCCTCCCACCGCCATGCCGTGCCGGTCGGCAGCGCAGGGCTCCGTGTGGGCTCGTCAGCTGATCTCAGGGCCTCCAAAGCTTGCAGAGCAACTGCGCCCCAACGTCCAGTCATGAGGACTTATGAGGACTTAGTAGAGCATCTTAGCAATTGACAGTAATGAGCCGAAGGACCTCAAGATGTACATGATGTATTGATGACCCCAACGTTCGTAGCGCACCTGCCCAGCGCCAAGATCCAAAGCATTTAGAAATTGATAGCGGCCTATCAATCCGTCAAGCCTCTCACAGATGTGAGCCATGGAGAATGACTTGGAATCTCACCATCACTTTGCTGAGCGGGGAGAGGCGTGGCAACAAAGAGAAGCGTTTCGACCTTTTGCTTCGAGTGCGACGCTGCAACCTGTAATACCCTTTTCATTGCGCACGCAGATAGACATGAAATATGAACATCCATGAGTCCATGGACATTGATAGACTATGAACAACATTTAAGAACTATAATGCTCACTTAAATGGGTCCCTTCTGTGACTCCCCATGTTCTTTTGCCCTGGCGTGTCAGTAGTCATCCAAAATTATCAACCACCACCCTCATACCACATTTCCTGATAGGAGCACTAAACCATACCAAACCATTGAAGCACCAAGAGCTGCCGCACCGTTCTTCACGCCGCACCGCAGTGTGGAGCTGACCATTGAGCCGGACCGGAGTGTGAACTTTTTGCGAAGAAAAGCGGAGCAAGCACTCCAGAGGCCACTGAAGGCCTTGTTTGGCGGAGGCCGAGATTGGAACAAAATCCAAGAAAGAGGGTCCGTGAAAGACAACCATTTGGTAGTGAGGTCAATGAATCATGGAGTCAAGCACACGAGACTTCTGGCCTGGTGCGACTCATCAGGAGTTTTGAACAAGGACTCAAACAAATACAAAGGCGTTATATACATGAGGTTGTAAATGTGACACTTCCGTCTATTTGCCACCCCTACAGGATCTACAGGAGATTTTCTAGCTGGTGTGGAATGACTACCTCCAAGATCGTAGGGTAGTAGGGCCGCATTAACATAACACAGCGAGAGGATCCTTTTGGGTGGTTCGGTGGGACCCAGGCTTGGGTGCCATTTTAGCTCATGCCTGCAAGGTATTCCATCCTAAAGATCCCTCCCACCCAGTGTCACTACCCCTTAAGATGCGATGTGAAGGACAGCTCTCGCTCTCACACCCAAACAGGAGAATCCGTCGACGGTGACGGGTACGGGCGAGCACTTGTGCGGGCGTTGGGCTATTCATCTCATGCGTGAAACTGGTTGTTTGAGCACCTTGCGGATGCGAAAATCACGGGGGCGATGTCCATTTTCAGGGAGGTATGGGGAGAGATCAGGCCACATACCGTCTCTCCCTGAACGTCCAGGCCGTTTGAACAATCCCAGCCGACTCTGCGATGTGGGCGTCCAAGATGGTGATCTGCTGACGGCCATCGTGCGAGAGCCGGGCCCCATCATGGAATCCTATCGGAAGGCCGACCAAGCTCGGTGAACACCGATTCTTTGGACAAAGCTGGTTGAAGTCATGGATTGGTTCGAACGCTTAGTCTCTTTCACTCCCAGTCTCCCTGTTCTGTTGAATTGAAGTCGATTCTGCCAAGCACACGAAACCGCAACGTGAATCAACTGCCTTTCATTTTCTCGTCGTCGAACCACTGACGTGACTCCACTCAGTCCTCGCAGGCTCGTGCTTTCGCGGCCATTTGCGACGGCGAAGTGGTCACTTGGGGCGCACCTCACTTCGGTGGCCAACTGCCTGCACGGCTGCGACCGCGGCTGGTGGACGTGGCTTCGGTGGTGGTCTCAGCGTATGCCTGTTGCGCACTCCGGAATGACGGGGAGGTGGTCACTTGGGGCTCTGAGCTGTCAGGTGCAATGAGTTTCCAAAAAGATTCCCAGAGAGCAAGAACGCTTAGTAATTAGTGGGGTTGCTTTTGGACATTTTGTAGACATGTCTAAAGTATTTGAAAGTTCCAAGCTGCAAAGATTTTTCTAAAGTTTTGGGAAGGTATCAGATATCTAGCACTTTGAAAGGTCGAGTCTGAATTATCCCCCTGTCGCATTTAGACTGACTTTCTGAGAAGATCGTTGGGTCCATTGCTCAGGAGGGGATTCGGAAGAAGTCACTCACGAGCTTCGTGACGTGATCGAAATCTACGCGACGGACGCAGCCTTTGCAGCATTGAAAGGTAATGGCAGTGTTGTGACCTGGGGCGATGCCAGGAATGGTGGCAGCTCTAAAGAAGTTTCAGGCCCGGTGGGGCGGTGACCATCGAAGATGCTGGACGGATAGTTATAGGTCAAGTGTCTCAACCCTGGTCTCAGGTGATTTGTTTGGGGTTCAGAAAATCTTTGCTTCCACCACAGCCTTTGCTGCAATCCGATCTGATGGTCGAGTGGTTACTTGGGGTGCAAGGAATGCTGGAGGCGACAGTAGCGCAGTGCAGGATCAGCTGCGAGATGTGCATCCTGGCAGTGAGTCTTAACGATCGAATGTTTCGATCTCTGAAAAGAAATTGGCAGAACTTGTGAAGTTTTGTGAAGACACATTGACATACCGTTTTTCGTTGCGTTACGAAACACCCAGTTGACTTGGACACGACTCTTGGGTCGCGACTTGGACACCGCAGGAAGCAAATACATGCAACCAACGTGGCCTTTGCAGCAGTGAGAGGAGACGGCTCAGTTGTTACGTGGGGTGCAGTCAGCGGAGGTGGGGATTGCAGCGAAGTAGCTGATCAACTGGTGAACATCGGGCAGATTCACTCAACCACCCGATCCTTTGCTGCGCTTTCTGCTGATGGGAAGGTTGTAACCTGGGGCGTGCCTGGCAAGTTTCTGAGCCTTACAGGGCTGTGTTGAAGGACCTTTGTTTGCAAAGGGTATGCAAAGGCAAACTGAAACAGAACCTTCGTCCTTCGTCTATGGCTCAAAGCATTGTTAGCAACTTCAAATGCTTACTGTGAGATACTGTAAGTATTTGAATTTGGACACGACTCTCGACAAACGGTGTGTAGGCGCTAGAGAAGATTTCGGAACAGGTACCGGGTCCAATCGCTCCGCTGTTTGCATTGTTTTAACATTTATTTCTTTACGGAGCATTCCCACTTACTTGGCCTCCACTAAACCTGCTTGCCAGGTGCTCCCAGCACTGGTGGTGACAGCTCCACAGTGCAAGGTGGCTTGAAGAGTTTAAGAAGTATAAAAGAGGAAGAGAAAGAACGTAATTAATAATAATGGCAATGGCCTCCAACCCAATAGCAATGGTCTCCAACCAAATAGGAATGGCCTCCAACCTAATAGCACGGGCCTGCAACCTAATAGCAGGGGCCTCCAACCTACTAGCAATGGCCTCCAACCTAATAACAATAAGAAAAGAGGAAGTGATCAAGCATATCATTGCAATTCCTGTTGATGCTATGCAACCGAGCGATCTCCAGCACTTCCCACACCTTCACAGCAAAACAGGAAGGCCGTTTTGCACAAACAAATGTCTTTACAGGAGCTCTGTTCGCTGCAGACTTTGCTGATTCTGCAGATTCTGCAGACTGTGACGAACCCATTTGTTTCGTCCGACCCATCGACTCATGAGTCGACTTATATCGACTCATTCAGGTGAGTTGTTGGATGTAGTGCAGCTGGCGGCCAGCGAGACCGCCTTTGTGGCCATCCGGGAGGATGGTGCATTATTCACCTGGGGCGACTCGAAGATCCCAGATGTGGAGCAGCCAGGCTTTGACTGGAGTAGAATGGGTCTATGTAGGTCCAGGAGAAAACCAATGAAAACAACAACAACATGATCAACATGTAACCTGTGTACTGTATGCTTCTTCCTAGTTAAGGCATGTTAAGGCCAAGTCGTAAGGCCTTTTAACAATTCTTGAAATCAGTGAGGGTCGTGAGGTCCAAGAGTCTGCAAAGCTCAGAAAGACTGGTTCTCCTCTACTTGACCTCCCCAAATGCCCGAGTCCTGTGGTATCCTGTGGTTTGTCCAACTTCACAAGGCAAACACCTTCGTGGTCCACTTTGGGAGTTTCGTTTTCAGTCACGAAAGCCTGAGGCTATCTGCGGTTTCTCGACAGGTTTTGGCCACCGATTCGGCCTTTGCTGCCCTGGGAGTCGATGGCAAAGTTGTCACCTGGGGGTCGAAGAAGGGAGGCGACAGCAGTGGTGTCCAGGAGCAATTGGTGGAGGTGGGGAGTTTCTTGCGGCAGTAAGGAGTAGTTAGGTCCAAGACTCAATCTACAAAGAGTTCAAGCATAATCGGGTGGTCAATGGTAGTTCAGAAAGCGTTCAATGGTCAATGGGGGTCAAACCTTGGGGCCTGAGGCTGTGAGAGATTTCATTGTGGAGCAACACGGAGCATACTTGAATTGTCCAAAACGTGATTTCAGCACCCCAACTGCCAGCACCCCAACTGATGCATCTTGGGGAGGTGAGAAATCTCCTGCAGGAGTCTATCACTGTGAAGAAAGAATGAGACATTATGAGACATGGAAGGTAGGTTGGAGCCATTGCTATTTGGGTTGGAGTTCTCTGGCCGTAGCAGGTACAACAGCTCTTCGCTTCTGAAGGTGCCTTCGCAGCTCTCAGATGCTGGGGCTGCAAGTAGCATGATGTAGGCAGAAATGCTCAAGACTTACATCTTCGATCATCTTCGTTCACTCAGTTCAAGCCTAAAGGCAAGAAACAAACTCATCCTTGCAACTCTGCAGTTTGCACGATTGTCCGCAAAAGAATACGGGAGGTTGGGGGCCACAGCTATTGGTCTGCAGACTCTGAGGATCTGATGGACGTGTGGTGACCTGGGGGGACCCGGCCTTTGGTGGTGATTCACACACCGTGCAGGATGAACTGGTTGATGTCCACCGCGTCCATGCGGCCAGTGGCGCATTTGCAGCAGTTCGACATGATGGCAGGGTTGTGACTTGGGGCGATCCATGGGGTGGGGGCGATAGCAGCAATTTGAGGACGGCTTCGACGACTTTGGTGACTTCAGCGGCTTGGTGAGTGTCCTATTTTATGCTTGAATTGTCTGAAGCTTTTGCATGATGCTCAAGACACCTGGGATCTCCTTTGACGTGGCATTCTTTAGCTCAAGCATTGTGGCTTCAAAAAGGCTTGATTGAGCTGTCAGTTGCTCAGCACCAGCACTCCCCCACGGAGAGAAGCAGGAGGAACAAGCAAGCAAGCAAACACTCCATTTAGTGGATTCCCCACACTGGTAGCTTGGCCAACTCCACTCTGCCTCTTTGCCTCTTTGCGTCCCCCACTAATTAGTTTGTGAATCCGCAAATGGGCCTTGCTGGAAGAAGACTTGGAAGTCAAACCATTCACGTTCTCGCAGTGAGCTCCTGACAATTTTGGTAAAAGCACCGGGACACGAGTAAAGTCGCAGTATGAAGTATGCGTACGGCGTATGCTGAAGTTTAACATAGTCACAGTCTAAAGGAGACCCCTCCAACAGCAAACACCGTGATAGGTTGCCTCACCATATTCAAGCTCTGGCACACTCAGGAGCTAAGTCATAAAGATGACCGAAGATCCGCCCTGAAGAAGGTCCTGGATGCAATTGATGAATCTGGTGAAGACTGAGATGCTGCAAAACACCCGGTGTGGACAGAGCCGCAAAACACCCGGAGACCGTGAGAAAGTACATCTCGGCCCAGGCAGCTTCAGCACCTCCATGCCTTGGATTTGAATGCTGCCGGAACAACCGGCGGTGCCGTGTGGTGGTCAGCGCTAGCGGAAAAGATTGCGACATTGGGGGGTCTTCATTCAGTTCTTCATCATGATCAGGAATTGGTTCTACACTCAGAATACCATGCAACAGCAGGGACCACCGAGTAGTCGACCCCTCCCAATCGGAGGAACTCCGTTTCAATCTGAGCAATGCCTACACCCTAGATGATGGCTAGTAGTTGATGGGAAGCTGATTCATCAAAGTACATACGGCAAGGATGCATCCAGGATGCCCGGGAAAAATCATGCTTGTGGCACTTGTGAAGATCACCAATTTCTGGTTTGCAGACCTGGCATTCCGGAAAACAGACTTGAATTTTGATTGCTCCGCCATGCTCATCTCGCAAAGAAACAACCTTAACTTGTTTATCCCAAAGACCCAGTAGCTCGTCGTAGTGGTTGCTGCATCTACTCGTATAAAATGCGTTTGGATGCATCTATAATTCTTCCAATATACAAGGGTTAAAACTATGGCACATACCGTATGACTACGATTATGGCACTATGGAATCACCACTCACCAGGGCGATCAAAGCCAGCACCTGATCCCTTCCGCCAGCGGAGGACTATGTGTCACTTCAACATCCCTGGTTACTGCAGATGCTGCCCCCTGGCAAGAGATGATGCTCCAAAAGAAGGATGTAAAGGGCAGGACATGCACCGAAGCTTCCTCCCAGCTGCATCTACTTAAGTTTCCCTAACAATCTAGGAACCAAATGAATAGAAGCGTGAGCTATCCCGCATCCATGCTAGTACTTGTCAGCTACTAGCTACCTCTTCTACTAGCGGCTACCTACTTGTAGCTACTACCTCCCTCTTCTCGGCCTACCCCCGTTTAAACAAAGAAAATGTTTGATAGGTTCTGAGAAGCGCGTGCCGCATGTTGGACAGTAAGCGGCCCATTCCAGGTGGTGAGACCCAGACAGGCGTCTGTGAAGAAGACCTCGTCAGTTTCAGTGAGTGTACAAAGCCTGTATATACTTTTTCTGAGGCAATGTTGGTGCGTGCTTTCACAGTGGTTGTAAACTGTTGTGACGAAGTGGAGACATTTGCCTATCCTAAAGTTTGTGTGCCGACTGCGCTCTCATCGAAGCCAGATTGGATTCAATCGACTTCAATAGCGCCCGCAGGAAAGTCCAAAGTCGAACCCAGCTCCTGTGCTCTAGTTTGGAATAGAACCTCGCTTGATGCAGATCAATTTATACGCAATGTACCACATGCCTGGGTGTAGTATACGCATGAGGAGTTCTTCTCTGACAGATTCATTGGGGTAGAAGCAGAACAATCTTCATGGCATGTGTGCACAACTACTACATCAAAGCAGTTGACAGTTTTCTGTTCCTCTGACAATGTCTGGGCTTTCAGTGTTGCTCAGTCTCGTGTGTCGTCAGGTGCAGGCATATCCTGCTACATCAGGCCTGCAGAATACGAACTGCCAGTTGACCAAACCCTTAAGTTCCATTGCCTGACCTCATCTTTCAAGAAGCGCCTTGGACGTGTCTTTTCTTCAGAAGTTGATGTTGAAGCCAACTACTGTCAAAGAGCAGGAACTGCCCCAGGCCTGGTCCATTTTTGGGATGTCAAAGAGGGTGTTCACCTGGTTTTACCTCACAATGTCAACTGCCAGAGGTTTCACTTGGTTTCGCTTTGGTGTACTTCGTGATGAATCAATGATACCAGGCAGTGCTCCAAGCGTGCCGAGGCCAAGGTTCAAGACTGAGAAGACTTATGTGCTGAACTGAACTGATCGCAACAACTTAACATGGACGATGGATAATTATGGAAATGGACCCCCCTGAACAAGATCATCTACAATCTTGCCATGTTTTGAGAGCTTTGATTAGGTCTTGTGCCATGTTGGATTCTTCAATCTTCTGCTGCTTTGCAGGCCGGCATCACAGTCGAAGGTGCTTAGGCCGGCCGTCTCATCATGTGCATACATGGAGACTTCAATTTTCCACACGAACTGATCTTGTACCATGGCGGTCAAACCCCTGTCATTGTGAATGACTTGTGTTGACCAGACTTTGTCCGAATTGAACCGTGCAGGGAGGTGCATACTACGAAGACCAGATCCACCTCCTCCTTCTTCAGCCCCCGTACGGAGCTCCGAGCCTTCGCCACCCCCACCACCCAAACCCGGCTCTGTCGCTTGGGTGTCGCCAGTGTGGCCCCTCCCTCGGTGTCCTCCGTGCCCTCAGCACCGTCGATGCCTTCCGCGCCCTCGGCACCGTCGGGCATCAGCACCGTGGGCGCGCCGACCCAGACCGCTTCTGCGGGGTCGTTGGGCTGGCACCGGACCGGTGCGACTTCTCCCTGGCGGCCGCATTCCTTCACACCACCCGGGGTGGTGGTACCCGCATGGGCGTGGCTGCCGGAAGAGGCCAAGCGACCCAGTGAGACTTCGAAGCTTTTGAACTTGCCGACACCTAACCGGAGTCGATCCTTGCAACGAGTCGTGGGCACCTTGCATGGCTGGGGGCCTTAGACCGAGAGCCCCTTCAATTTCCCAGCGAAGAAGAGAAAGCTTATCCATGGGCATGGGATCTTAAGCTGCTGTATGATCAGCTGGCTACGAGTTGCTTCAATACTGGCTTGTTGTCAGCAAGGGTGTTTGGTCAAAATTAGCAGCAGAATGACGAGCAAGCAAAGCTTGTCTTCTCAAGCCAGAGATTTGGGAACGTAACAGTCTTACACCCAAATGGTTCCATCACGAAGTGATGATCAATTGTTGCAGTCCGAGAAGTGTCCCAACTAAGTCACTAAGGTCCACCCCTAAGAGCCACCTTATCGGGCATGCCGACCGCACTGCGGGCCGCACGAGATGCGAGACAGGTGAGATGAGAAGGGTTGGTGCAGTAGATGTGATTAGATGCAGCCACGTGGTTTTTGAAAGGTCTTGAATGCACCATTCAATACCATTCAGCCTTTCAGACTTCGAAGTTGTAGGCTGTGTCACAACTTCGGTACTCCGCCAAGACCATGTGAAAGGACTCAGTCCACCAAGATTTACTATAGACATGTTCACAGATGCTTACCTGCAATTTGTTGTGCTTTTCAGTGTGATTCTATACCTCATTGGCCGATCGTGGGCGGACGAGTCCGCGCGTCTTTGGACACTCAGACTGTTCAATTGCAGCCAGGTCCAGGGCCGCTTAAGGTGCCCTGAGGTGCCAAAAGGGTGGCTCCAAGAGGGCCGGGGGCCGGGCGGGCGGGGCCATGGAGACGTCCACAGATGGGTCCTGTCGCAGAATGCGATTCGATCTGAAGAGTGCAACTCTTCCATGAACGGGTCTGAAGTTTTCGTGGCTCATTTTGTGTTTCGGTTTGAGCATAGACAAAATGAATCAACATGATGTCAAACACGCGAGCAGCGACTTCTGCTCTAGCAACAAGGTGTTGTCCTTTGAGCAGAGATGGACTTGGAAACCTCAACAATGTCCTCGATTGGTCATTCAGTCATTCAGCCGTATCTATGAGATTCTGCTAGACAGTACATACAAGTGGGTTGATCCTAAACCATCCTCCCGCGATGGCCCAGTATCTCCTCCACAGGCAACTGGCAACAACGGCCAGTGAGATTAGATGTTGATGTGAAGAAAGGCTTTCATCTAATTCACTTAGGTGGCAATGTTTTTAGGGCAGCGAGTGCTGCAGAATTCGTGGGCTGCTTCCAACAGCAAGTCGCACAGGGCTGGTCTGATGAGGGTTGGGAGAATGCAGCAAAGGCAAGGGGCTGTGATGCCCTGACGTCCAGTGCTCCATGGGACCGCACAGGAAGCTTCACACTCACACTTCAGAAGCTCCACAAAACCGCTGAAAAGCTGAACAGCCACCAAGATTCGTTCCTACTGGATGTCCCTTTGCACACTTTTGTCCACTGAGTGCCAGAAATTCGTTTGCTCCCCTAGTTTGTAGATCGTCCGATCCTGGAGTCCACCGACCGTGAGGGACTTCTGAAGTCGAAAGCCCTGTTTCTCAACTCGGTGCTTTCTCGGGGTGGCATCCAGCAACAATTTTCTGTGCAATTAATTCAAGCAGGAAGAGTGACTACGTTGCGATTGTTGACAGCGAGTTTGACTTGCTTCCTTGCGAGAAGACAAAACGTATCAAACAGCTAGGTGCCAAGGACGTTGCGCTGCTGACTGCGGATACCACACGACAATTGTGCAAGAATCAAGCAAGGGCCTGGAGGAAATTCTTCCACGGCAGTCTTGCCGGAATGTGGAATGCTGCTGTGCTGGTATGTACTGGTAGCAGTTCGTCGT